CCTTTCAACCCTGTTAAGTAAGTAATATAAGTATTTTCCTTGTTTTACTTGGGCTTGGGCTTAGAGAAGGTAAATGATTTGCCCATAATCACACAGCTAGCTAGTTAGTGTCAGAGTATGGACTTGAATCTAAATTTTCTAAGTCAAAGATCAGTTCTTTTTCTACTAGACCACATTACTTCTTCTGGAAGATCTTAGTGTATAACCATAGTTTTTGAAGTAGTGTGATTAGTTGACCAAATTTTCGCTTTTCAGTGATTTCTTCTGGTTCAATGTTCATACAGTCTATGAGAGAGAACTGTAATAGTGACACATTCTTAAACTAACCAACAAAAATCAAAATTTCACATATATGCAATGGAAAGAACTATTCACATTGGTCCTTTTTCACTCACATTCTTAAGAGTAATGTCATCATTGAATGCCTTGTTGGAAATCCCCAATTTGTAACCAACCCTTTCAATTCATTACTTTTTCTAAGCCAGCAAAAGTGAAAATGAAAAAAATAAAACTGTAAAAGAAAAACCAATAAAATAATGTTAACTCAAACATCTGTTTTACTAAATTATGGAACATATCTAAAAGATAAGTAGGTGCACTATGGATAGGAACTGAACCTGTGATTTTATTGATATAAGGAACTCACAGGTAAAGAAACTCCCTCTCCCAATGCAAATCAGAACCATCTCTGGGACTTATAAAATCTTGGAGTGCCTAGAGCCCTCAGAGATTTAAATGACCTCTGCAGGGTCACACAGATAATATATATCAAAGGCAGGACTTGAACCCTGGATTCAAGGATAGCTCTTTATCCATATGCCATGTTTCCTCCTTTTTCCTAACATACTAGTACACAAATGTGTTTTAAATACCATTTAACGATAAGGTATTGTCATCAATACTTCATCATATTTTGATTCTTAGAAGGTTTTGAATATAATCCTTTGTATTTGTTCAGACATTTTAAACTTTTTTTTAAAAGACCATTTATTATGCCTTACAAAACTTTTTTTAAAAGGTTTTTTCTTTTTTCTCTTTTCTAGATCTGATATTTCCTTTTACTACTTCAGAAAAAATTGGCTCAAAATGGAAGGCTGAAAAATAGAAAATTTAATATCTCCTTAAATATTAACTTTATTTGATTGCATCATTGGAAAACTAGTATTCAAAATGTATTTCTAGGAATTACTTCTATGTTTATATCAAAATGAGTTATGATTGATAGGAAGAAAGTTGACATATATGAATGAATACATCTCATAAAATATTAGGTGTTTTTTTCCCCTTAGGTGAATACATCTTATAAAAAATAATTAAGAAAAAGTGATGGCAGTCTACTACAAGCTGGATTTGCATGGTTTTCTTTGAAATAAATAACTTTATGTGATCATTGGTACTATGTATAATAAAATGATTTAAAGGAATGGAAAAAAATAATCATTCTTATGTTTATCTTTTCCATTGCTGAGAAAGTCATTGCCTTTTACCTAAAGATATTTATAGGTTTAGTGGCTTTGCATTTGGGCCATTTTTGCAACAGTCTTCAGAAATTGATTGTGGTAGAATTACAAATTGCTTATAAAGGAAGTTTTAAGAAGCTTACTATTTTAGAAGTTCTGAACCACTATTATCTGACCTTTTTGGTGCCATCCTCTAGCACCAGGGTCAGCAAAGTATGGCCTATGGGCAAAATCTAGCTCACAGCCTTTTCCTGTATAGCCTTTGAGATAAAAGTTATTTTTAAACTGAGACCTATAGGCCATGACTCCTGCTTTAGAATAGAATTAAAATAGAAATAGAATTTAGAATAGAATCCATCCCTATTTTTTAGTTCTGATACTAACTCTTGAAAAAGTAAGAATCAGTTTCTGCTGATTTTTATATTACTGCTATATTTCTATCACTGACATGTCCAATTGAGTTAAGTTGGTCCATTCATTTTCAACAACATTCATTAGGCATCTAATATGCATTCAGTTTAGGTTATATGAGTGATAGATAAGGAATAAGAGACACTATACCAGCCCTCTAGGGAGTAGCCAGTCTGCTTGAATATACAAGAAGTATCATGCAATTAGAAAATTTTGCAAGGTCAAATGTCAAAATGTGTGGTAGACACAATAAGTGGTCAAGAAATAATTTTATAATTAGAGCCTGCTTGTCATTTGAAATAAAGATTAACTATATTATTTCAGGATCCTATGTAACCAGTCTGTTATAGTTGTGCCTGTTTTACTGAAAAGTCAGTGTTGGGAAAATCTAAACCAACAAAATAGATGGAGGTGCCTACTTGCATTACAAAATCATCATTCACTTTACAAAAGAATACACATCGGACTACTGATAAAGTGATCTGGTAGATTTATAAACATGAAGTATACACAACTATTCAGGGCTATATTTGTCCTCTAAAGTCTTGTTCTGAGCTTATTTTTATATTATGGTCACTTTGAGAATAGTTATTTTTATTTTGTTATTTGTAAACAATAGAGAAGATAATAGCATCTTTAGGCCTCAGTTTCTTCATCTGTAAAATGAGAACACTGAATCCCATGACCTAACATCTTTTCCCACTCTGAATCTATGATCTTGTAACCTCATATATTAGAAAAATAACTTCCACTAATATTCATCCCTTATGATGATTTTAGGTTTTAATAACTGCTAAACTGAAATAAAACTGTCAGCTTCCTTTTTCCTCTTTATGTTCCTATTACATTCTTCCTCCTATATTTTTTCCTTAATGATTTCTTGCCTGTTTTTATGAGGTTTTATATTCAGACATACCATAAAATATCTCCAAATTTACAAGGTGACTTTTGAAGTGCATTTAGTCCCTACTTGTAATGTCTTCAGTTAAGTTTTTTCACATATTATTTCTCTGTCATGCTCATCATTTTGGTTCTATTTTATGAGGTCAAATTAGAGTTGATGGTGTCTTGTCCAATCAATTTCCCTTCACTAATAGTGTGAAGCAGGGCTGCATAAAAGGTTCAGTTTAATTTAATTTGTTTTATTCAGCTGTGCTATGTGATATCCCCAGAATGTAAATACTTATCTAATCCTCCAGGAAGTTTTCTACCTCAGTTGCTTAGAGACTACACCAAGGTACACAGTGGACACAATGATTAAGGGTTATATACTGACGACTATCACTATTTACAGGAAAATTAGAAAAACTGTATGCTTCTGCCTTTCTTCCTTCTAGGTCTTATTTATTAAAACACAGTTTTTCCAAAGTATTAAAATTTGATACCTTTTCAGAGCATTCAAATCACTAATGTTTTTTTACTAGCACAAAAGCAATTGATTTGGCCCTGCCAAAATAGCTTTCTTATCTTTTCCAAGTTTACTTGGAAAGGCCAACACCAATGATAGCACATTTTAGATACTGTATATATGCCATGAATTATTCATAAATCACTTAAAATTGGAGAATTTGATGAAATAATGACTGAATTTGTGTCTGTGTATTCAGATATAAAACCAGATTTTTTTTTAATATAAGAAATTCCTCAATCTTTAAATTTATTGCTATGGCACTGCCTCTTGAAACTGAAATTGAAAGAATTTCAGTGGAAAAATTTGTGATTTCATTGTATTGCTCTCAGCTACCAGTCCAAGATTCTAAAACCATTAGCTATTTTTGAAAAATAAAGTTTAAATGATTATCAGACTACATGAATTAGCACGTTGAAAATCTTTGGCCAGTTTAGTGTACTGGTGCGATGGATGGAACACCAGGCCTGGAGTCAGGAAGACCTGAATTCAGATCTGGCCTCAGCCATTTGCTATCTGTGTGACCTTGGGCAAGTCACTTAACCCTGTTTGTCTCAGTTTCCTCATCTGTAAAATGAGCTGGAGAAGGAAATGCCAAACTACTCCATTATTTTTGCCAAGAAAACCCCAAATGTGGTCCCCAAAGAGTCATGACTGAAGTGACTGAGGAGCAGCAACAATCACACTTGAAATGTCAAAGAGACAAAGACTTTGGAAAATATCTGAAAACCAGCAACTTGTCTCTGTCCTCCAAGAACCAAGCTTATGAATAGGCTATTAAAGTCATGACACATCCTGTTCAGCTTTACTTTGGAATTTGCTTGTTCTGACTTTCTTTTCTTTTTCATCCACGTTAGGACGTCTTGCATGGCTGGTATACTTAGTTGGAACTGTTGTAGGAGGAAGACTAACTTACACTAGTACAGATGAACATGATGTAATGGATGGAGAATTATCTTGCCGGTAAGTGCTGAGTTAATTAAAAGAATGTCATTCAAGATTAATGTCACCTGTCTCCCAAAACCTCTTTCTTTCCCTCTTAAATTCTGTCTTCCTATAAATGGCACCACTATTCTTTTAAGCCCTTTATGCTTGAAACTGTAGCATCTTTCTTTTTTTGTGAGTCAGTTGGGGTTAAGCGACTTGCCTAGGGTCACACAGCTAGTCAGTGTTATGTATCTGGGGCCGGATTTGAACTCAGGTCCTCCTGACTCCAGGGCCAGTACTCTATCCACTGCGCCACCTGGCTGCCCCCTCTAGCATCTCTCTTGACTCTTTATTTTTCTTCTCCCCTCACAACTAATCAGTAGCACCATTGTACAGATTCTGTCTCCTTAATATTTATCTCCCTTTTTCCCTTATCCTCACCAACCTATGCGTCAAGTATTATAATAGTTATAATAGAGACCTAATTGTCCTTCTTTGCTCTTTTCCCTCCTTTTGTTATATCCAATTGAATATGTCTAATCATTTTCTTGATCAAAAATCATTAATGGTTCCTCACTGTTTAAGGAAGTCCAAACTCCTTAAACTGGTGTTTTGGGCTGGGCCTGACTCAAACCAGTCCTCTGTACTTTAGAGTCAATATCAGAACAAAATGAGACATTTAATTAGCAAAAGGAGATTTACTTATCCAGAGTAGGAGGATAGGCAAATAGAGTAGGCATTAAGAAGACTCAGTTGATTCATCTTAGTGAAGCTCCCTTGCCTGAGTTGTCCGTTGTGATCCATCAAGCATCAGAAGGGTCTCTGGAGCTCCTCCTCACTATTTTTGTACGCAAGTGATCAAGAAGTGATGGTAACAGCGTATGTCTTTAGTACTCTGAGGCAGACAAGTTTGGGAGCAGGTCAGGATAAATTGTTCCTACCTCTCTTTACCTTCAAGCCAAAAGTCCTGCTCATTCTTCAATAGCTCTCTTATTTGACCCAGCAGATTGTCTTGATATGCCCTTGGAAGAAAAGAGTTCTTCTTTCTGGGAAATTTCATAATACTTTTGTACTTACTGCCTGTTATTTTAAACCACACATTCACTTCCTTTTACTAAACCACGCATTCACTTCCAAATTCATCCCTTCTCAATCCCCACCTAGTGAACCCTGTCTTGTAACAAAGATTAGGGGGAAAAAAGCAATAAAAAAGCAGTTCAGCAAAACTCTTGCTGACATTTCCACAAAGGCATATTGTTTCAACTTTTTACCAGAACCAAACTTGGTCATTCTAATTACACATTAAGTTTCATGCTGTTGTCCATTATATTTATATTGTAATTATGGTATATATTGTTTTCACAGTTATAGTTATTTCATTTTGCATCAGTCCACATAACTCTTCTGTACTTCCTTGAATTCTTTATATTCTTCATTTCATGTATCACAATTTTATTCATTATATTCATGTACCACAATTCATTTGGCCATTCCCTAGTCCAAATGGTCAGTGTTTCCCATTCTTTGTTATTACAAAAAGTACAGTTATTTTGGTGTATGTAGAACTTTTCTTTCTATCTGTCTTTAACTCTTTTTGCGAATATTCCTGGCATTGAGATCTCTAGATCAAACAGAATGAACATTTTTGGTGTAGTGTGTGTGTGTGTGTGTGTGTGTGTGTGTGTGTTCATGTGTTTGTGTTCTACCTGTCTCATCCAGACTGGAAATAACAGTGGCCACTCACAGTCCTTCTTCCGATATTTAATCAGCACAGAAGCTTTAACTTGCTTTTTTTTTTAATGACCTGGGCCAGTTTAGCCTATCTTAGGCAACTTAGTAGCCATCCTGTCATGAGGGCTCACCATATTGTCTCCAGACTTGGTGCAGACCCCAAATCAACTTTAGCCCTATTGCAGCTCAAAACTCCCAAACACAAGCAATCCACCAGCCATAGAATGCACTACCATTCCTGGCTGTAGTTTGAAATGTGTACATTATTTGGATGTAGTCCATAGTCATTTATTTGGATTTTCAATGAAGTTTTATACTTTATTTAAAATTGATTGTTTGTGAACTGTGAACAGAATCATAAAAGCACCTTCAGAAAATGATCCAGTGACTTTTTTGAACTGTTTCCTGCTTCTAAGTTGATGCTGGGAAAAAATTGCATTGTCTGTCAGGCTTTTGCATCAACATAAGTCTATTTGTCATGCTACCATCTCTTTCAGTTTTCGTTCTTTGTGGTTTGCACCATGGTAAACATGAAGAAAAAATTATATTTTGATTTGAAAAATCTCTTCAGGCTTAGGTGGGAGCAACAGCAACGGGTTTCAGGGATTGTTTGGGGTGTTTTTTAACACACTAAAAAACTTGAAACCAAGTTTTACCCTGATTAATCAATCTGTGGAAAATTTAGAACTTTCTATTTTGTATGAGTTAACAAGCATTTATTAACCTCTAACTCTGTATCAGGTAGTGTTCTGGGCATTTATTGTAAAAATGGGAAAATGACGTATATGCAGTAATTCTGAAGAGAAAAAACCCTGGCTAGAGTCAGTCAGTTTTCAAATTTGGCATTTAGCAAGTACAACTTAGCAAATTATCAATATGCTGAGCGTATGTACCTAATTAAGTAATCTCTTCCTATAAGTAATTTAATTTAGGAAGATTATAAATAGCTGTCATTGAAATAGCTGTTATGGTGCTACTTTTTCAATATTTTACCTGAAAATATTTTTATTTTATCTTAAGAGTTTTTCAGCTTATATCTTTGTTGGATTCCCGTTTGCCTCGGTGTTGTAATGAAAAAATAGAACTTGCAATTCTTTGGTTTTTGGATCAGTTTCGTAAAACGTATGTGGGTGACCAACTTCAGCGAACCTCAAAGGTAAGTTTTTATAATTAATTTAAACCACTGTTACTTAAGATGAAGAAAAAGGTGCGTGTAAATGTATAAAGGTGACTGATATGCAGAATAAGAAAAGTTGCTTGCCTGATTTCTTTGGGAGAATACATTATGTATTGGAATTCAAGATCTTGAGGTTTTGAAGATGATCTGTAGTTCATTTTCTTGATTTATGCTTGGGCTTGCCATTTTCTTTGAGGATTAGTGGGTAATCCATGAATATTTTTAACAGTTATATTCATTAAATAGTTAAGATTATTTTGAATGTTTTAATGGATTTTGTTATATTGTGTTATATTTCAAGGGTGAGAACACAAGATTTATTCTTTTAATAGTTCTGTTCCTTTGACAGTTACTCACTTATGTGGTTTGTACTTTATTTCTCACATTACTTGGCTTTTCTGCATGATAAATAGCAGGGACTAGAAGAGTTAGCAGCATCTTTGAGAAGTAGCAGTTAAATCACCTTAACTGTAAGGGACACTTATTGTCTAGATATTGTAAGAATGGCATCAGCAAGACCAGATTAATTGATCTTGAAGAGTATCAGAGGCATTTATATGAGCCCTAAGCCAATATTTAGTAGGTCTTATGACATCGAGTAAGATGTGTCTGGGATTTTTTTCTTACTGATGCAGTAACTCTTTTCAATACCCCTCTATGATAAGCAGTCCCAAGGATATTTTTATCTCTTTAAGATTTAGTTTGTGCTTTAGCGATGTCAAAGAATTTCTTACTTGAAAATTTGAGACATAGCTTTTCATTATGCTGTTAGACCTTTTCCCAAGGAATTTTAATGTTACCTTCATCATCTGTGATTTTTAGACAAGAATGATTTTACTCTGAAGTGAAAAATGTATCTGTTGAATTCTCCTAGCATCATTGTTTGAATCACTTCAACCAAACTTATCTGCAATTTAGGATACACCCTTGTATTTTGAAACATCTTTGCCTTTAGTGTCATTAGAATTATTTTTCAATATTTAATTGTCACTAAAAGATACCATAAGGAAGGACTAGGAAGAACTATAGCACGTGTTGTTGTTTGTGATTAAGACTAGTTAGATTACATTAAACAGAAAGGAAGATAAGGTACAAATGTACATATACATGTGCCTTTCACTTTATACAAAAGTTGTGTTCCTGAAAGATTAACTTGAAGCTGAATTATAAGGAGAGTAATTTTCATATAGCACTTCCTAAGTTATACAGAGATTCCACATATATTATCTCATTTGATCCTCACAAGGTGGGTGTAGACATCCATTTCATTGATAAGAACACTGAGGTGCTTACTCTAGGGCACAGAACTAGTGTGTGGTAGATCTAAGACACAAACTGAAGTTTTCTGGCTCCATATCTGGTACCAATTTGTTAACTAACACTGCCAGATAGTTGAGTCTTGTAAATGCCCTAGAAAAGCTCATTTAAAGGAATCCTATGGGAAATCCTTTTTAAAAAATGAAGACTCTTGTTTATAACACAAAAAGTGTTGGTGCTAGGCACTATGCTAAGTATTAGGGATACGAAAGATAAAAACACAAATAATTGCTGCCCTGAAGGAGCTTACTTCTTTTTGCTGGCAACTAGTATGCCTTTGTGAGAAAAAAATAATCATGCCAAACAAATTCATTTTTCTTTTATGATAGTTTTTGTAAGGGGAATCATAAAGTAACTGAATTTTGATGTGTATTCTTTTTCTCATGGTTCACTAGATACTTGCTCTATTCCTTTTTGTAATAGGCTAAATACAGATTGTAGTAGATCCGGTCTAATGAAATTTAGTTAGTGGAGTACTAATGAACTTTGTGATGAGATGTCTTCACTTGTGTCATGAAGAACATAAATTTTCCTAGAGTCTCATGAATCTAAGCAAAAGGAGCTTTAAACTGAAGAAGAAGACAGAGGGGAACAGCTGCCTATGTCTAGCCATCAAGAAAGACAACCTAGAGAATAGCTGGGATGTCAAAAAAAGAATTGCAGTAGATATGCCCCGAAATTTCTAGGTGACAAAATCCAAGAAAATAGGCAGTTAATAAAATCGATAACCTCGGATATCTGTACATAGACACATAAAAACAGGTTTAACATGAGGTAAACTAGAGATCCTAATGCAAGAAGGAACATTTGACATCATAGGTAGTACTTCACTGATGGGAATAAGATCTCTGCCTGGAACATGCCTCTGGAAGAGGATATACCTCATTCAAAAGAAGCAGACCAGGTAGAGAGGGTAGGGAGAGGAGTAGCATTGAATATTAAGAACATATTATCATATGAGCAAAGCTAGGGGCCAGAGGAGAAGAAGGATCATCAGTCAATCAATAAGCATTTATTAAAAGCATCCCAGATACTAGTCATTATAGTAATCACTTGGGATATGAATAAAATGAATGAAATGATCCCTCCTTTCAAGAAGCTGCCCTTCTCATTACCAAATCGCTGCTAAAACCTATACTTCTGACTTCACAATTGCTTCAAGAGCTAATTTAAAATTAGACATATTTAAAATTCATAGATTATGAAGTAGTCTGGCTACTTGTCAAAAATTGTTATCTTTGGGATATGAATGTCAAGGAATGGCCACAGGGAGTTTGACTGCAAGTTCAATATGAGTCATATGTCATGTGGGACCAGAAAACCTAATGTGATTTCAGGCTGCATTCAATTGATTAATCAATAAGTATTTATTAAGTGGTACTATGTGCCAGACACTGATCTCTGTCCTGGGGTTTTAAGTGCAAAGAATGAAACAATTCCTGCTCACAAGGAACTTACATTCTACTAGGAGGCAACACATATGTATACAAATATATATAGCATTAACATAAAATGAATGTATATACAAAGTTATATACAAAGCATTTCAATTCAAGGGAGACCATCAGCGGTTAGGAGATCATGAAAGGCTTCATTCAAAAAAGAATGCTTCAGCTGTGTTTTAAACGAAGAGAAGGATTGTGTGAGGGAGAGAGGAAGAAGGAGCATAT